GTTGCGTTTCTCCCCAATGCGCCATGCCACTTTGCCAGTCATACACACGTTTCGATGCGTGCCCTGTCAGCTGCTTGCGTTGCATGTCGCCTTGCTCCACCCCTGTTTTATTGCTTTCTCTGCTTTCGCCCGGTTCCCGTCCCGTTTCGGCGGGGAGTCTATGTTGCAAGCTAGTTCTTGCTTTACCAGACTTTAAGCCCACACAAGCAAGCAAGTTTGAGATGTACAACGTCACACACTTCTATCAGGTCCCGGAGGACCCCATCGGAACGGTGCGCACCGCCACGCTGTGCTGTGCTGTGCCCGCTGCGCTGTGCGACGTGCTGCACACACCGCCGTGTCGTGCCGCTCAGCCCTGCTCAGCCGTTTTTTTCCACTGCATGGTCCCTACCGCTGCTGACCAGGGCGTCCCATGTCTGCTTGCCCGGCCGCCTGCAGTTCATTTGGTTCCATGGCTGCGTCCACGACGCCTCTGCTGGGTGGCCCTACGATCCAGACGAGTGCCCCGAGTGCCTGGGCTTGCCAGAGGAGGTGGCGCACACCAAACAGGCAGGGCGGCAGTCGGTGGCAGCGCTGCCGGGCCTGCTTGCAGGCCTGCATCCAGCTGCTGCTGTGCTCAGCACCATCCTGCCTCCCATCCTTTCACCTTTCCCTGTCTGGCCGCATTGCAGGCGCTGGCCAGGGGCTACGCAGTGCTGGCCGTGGAGAGCAAGAACCGTGAGCGGAAGGAGCGGTGCTTCAACTACAGCCCGGACGAGACCATCAGCGATGCATACCAAGTGCCCAAGATCATTGAGGTGAGTCCTTCACTCCTTCTGCAATGGCAGCAAAGCTGTCCCGATGATGCGGCAGCTCCTCGAACTATCCACCCGCTGATGTATACGAGCCCTTGCAATTGCTTGCGTAGTCATCTGCCAAAGTACTGCTGTTGCACTGCAGCGCTTCGTCAGGGTCAAGCGGCTGCAGGACAAGCCCATCTACACTGCGGGCGTCTCCTCGGGGGCTTCCTTTGCAGTGAAGATTCCAAAGGGGTTCTACTCCTGTAAGCTGTGTGCTGGTCTGGGACGTGTTGGCGGCCATGTGGCTGCTTGTCTGCCACGCGGCTCGCTCAGCATTTTGGGTTTGCTGAACCGTCTCGCAACTTGCTTGCCCCCTGCTCCCTGCAGCTGAGAATGAAGTCAAGATTCATGGAGCCATCTCAGGTGGCTGGGCAGTTTGCAGCCTTGCAGATGGCATACAGTCAGAATTCCCGTGTTGGGGGCCCCTGTGCAGACGTCAGGCATGGGCTGCCAGTAGTGCAGCAGGCCCTCAGAAGCTGCAGCTGCCCGCTGCCTGCCACAGATGGCCCGCTGTCAGCAACCCCTGCCGCCCGCCGCCGCACCTTGTTCGTCTTGCAGAAGCGAACGCAATTCCCATAGAGTCGTGGGGGCTGCTGGACACACGCGGCCAGCTGCGCTACCCAGGCTTCCCGCCAGTGGCTTACGTCATCATGGGTCAGGCAAGCGGCAGAAAGAGGGAGGCTGCCCGGTAGCTGCGCTTCTTAACCCTCCCCGGTTGATGCGTGGCTGGCTGCTGGCATTCTGGCATGCCCCTGGCCCGACCCCATGCCTCGCTATGCCACTTCTCCTGCTGCATGCAGAACGACCCATTCAGCCGCGTTCAGATGCTGGAGAACATCGATGTGTTCCGCAGCGTCGGCATCCCAAGTGACTGGGTCTCGGTGAGTTCCAGCCAGCCATGCAGTCCCTGGGTGCAGCCTTGAGCCATGGCAGGGCGCCGACGAGCAGCGGCGGCGAGCGCCTGCACAAGGGGATGCCTGGGGGGAGGCGTGCTGGCAGGGGGCAGCCATCCTCTTTTCTGTGCGCTGCATCCTGATGCCCCTGCCCTCCCTGCTGGCCCTGTCCCGTGTGCAGGTGTGGCAGCGGTCCATCAACGAGTCGTTTTTCTTCGAGCGCTCTCCCACCATCACCATGCCACAGTCGGCCGCCATTGTCAAGGCCCTGAAGGCCATGGGGGTGGTGGATGAGGATGGCAACCTCATGGGCGACCCCCGCATAGATGCGCCGGTGAGAGTGTGTGTGTCCAGGTGTAGTTGAGCGTGTGAGTGGGGCGACATGGCAGGGGATGGCTGCTGCACGGCAGCCTCTCTCGGCATTGGGCAGGCTCGCGGCTGCCAGGCTGTCTTGCCTGCAGAATGCCTGGTGTGGGGCTGGAGGAGGGAGCCGAGCCATATGCAGCAATGCAGGGGTGTCCCCTCGGCTCCCCTGCTGGGCCCCGCTGCTGCTTTCTGGCCACCCCTCAAGTCCTCCACCCACACAAAATGCGACTGCTGCTGCAGAACCGCACCAGCGTGATGCACAAGTGGAACTTCAAGCTGGTGCAGCGCGTGCCATGGCTGAACCTGAACCGCAACAAGCCGCCCATGCTGACGGCTCTGTCGGACCGTGGCGCCATCTTTGAAGGTGAGCTGGCGCTGAGTTGGCGCCGTGAAAAAGCACTCCACCTCAAGGCAGATACAGCCAGTGCACTACTGTACATTCGGGCGGCCACAAACACGCGCATGTGATGGTGCTTCGCTCGTTTCAAAGTGTCTGCCTGCCTGCTTTGCGCTTACGCCCCGCTCCCCCCGGTTCGCGCCCTGGCACGTGCAGAAATGAACGTGGCATTTGCCAGGCACGAGATCATAGCTGACTACCTTGTGCCGTGCCTGGCATGGCTGGAGAAGGAGGGCAAAGCCGACCTGAAAGAGCTGGGCAGGCAGCTGGGCGTGAAGCGGCTGCGGGACCTCACCATGGATCGCATCTATCCCTCGCCGCCCCCCGCGCCACGGCCGCCGCCCTCCCCGACGAAAAAGGGCAGCGAGGATGCTGATGACGACGGCAACGCGGTTGAAGGGGCAAACGGGTGAGTCCCGGCTGTGTCTTCTGGGCAGGCTCTGTGATCAGCTGGCAGTGCCGAGAGCTGGCGCGGATCTGGCTGCCGAGAGCACAGCTGCCACAGTCTACCCACCCTGCTGGATCCAAGGTCTTGCTGTTGCCACCTGTCTGCAGCGGCAAACCCAAGCCCAGGCCAAGCAAGCCCAAGCCTGTCCCGCGTCCATCCCCATGGAAAGCGCCATCAAGAAAGGCGCCGCCAAGAAAGGCGCCGCCAAAGAAAGCTCCTCCGAAACCCAAGCCATCCCCCAAACCCAAGCCCAAGCCCAAGCCCAAGCCGAACCCCAAGCCCAAGCCCAAGCCGAACCCCAAGCCCAAGCCGAACCCCAAGCCAGCACCCCGCCCCAAACCCCGTCCAACGCCAAGAAGAGCCCCTCCGAAGCGCAGCCCGTCCCCCAAGCCCCGGCCCGTGCCCCGGCCTGCACCGAGGAAGGCTCCCTCGAAGCGGCCTGTGCCCAAGGGCAACGGGAAGAGCGGCGGCAAGGCCGCGGCTCCCAAGTCCAGGAAGATGGTGTCGGGCTGACACTGAAGCTCCCAGATCCTGGCAGTATCTCCCTTCCACCAGCTCCGAACTGAGATTGCGTCCAATTTTCACACCTGATCGCCTCCATCTATGCATCGTACGCACCCTTTCGGTCCCGCACTGCACGCCGCCACTCAGTGCATGCCGCCGCACCTTCAGTCTAGCATCATCACCACCCTAACTATGGGTACTGCCATGTGTCAGTCGTCCATGCCACAAGTTCCGCTGCCAGGGCAGCAGCTGGATTCTGGAGCAGTCGGTGCCGCCAACCCAGGGTGGCACGACGTGATGAGCGGTCGGTCTGAAGGCCCCGGCAATGTAGGCATTCAGGGGGACCAGTGTGCAGTGCAGCGGCTATGTTGATACTGCTGGGCTGGCTGGCTTTACCTCCAACACGCGCTGCCTTCGAGTCTGCGGCTTGCCCCCGCTGGCCAGCTGGCGGCGGCGGCACGCTGCGTTGGCGCAGCGGCGCATGCATGCACGAGCGATTCGCTGCTCCAACCCTACTCGCATTCGTCTTTCAACTACTGCTGAACCAGCGACTGCTTTGCACCCTGCCTGCTCCATCCATTGACCGGCAAACGGCCTGGGTGATCCCTTCCGACTTTCGCACCGATCGAGGCCCTACCTGCAGCGCAACCGACCCTGTGAACCATGCTGGCCGCAGGGCTGCTCACAGTTCGGGGCCTGGGCGCATTCCCCTGCGCCGCCGGTCCGTCACGTCGCCCCAAGGGCGGCAACAGGCGCTGCACCCGGGCACCCGTTTCCTTCAAGGACCCTAAGGAGAGCAAGGTAGGGTGCCCGCGGGCATTCCCAGCCAAGGGTTTGACGCCAGGGCTGCTCCCGCCCGCCTACCCTCGCCGCCCTCGCCCACTCGCCCTCGGCCGCCGGCCTGCCTGCCTGCCGCAGACGGAGGACAAGCCTGCTGATGCCAAGCCCCTGTCTCCCGGAGATATCCTCAAGGGCATCCAGCCCACCAACGGCACCAAAGGGAGCAATGGCAGCGGCGCGAAAAGCGCGACCGCCAGCGCCGCTGCCGCGGAGAAGGAGCAAGTGGACCTCAAGGCAGTGCTCGCCGCGGCCAAAGCTGCGCAGGCAGAGTATTCAACCTTCACGCAGGAGCAGGTGCGCGCGAGGATAGCCTTTTACGAGCCTGGCTGGCCAGCCAAACGCTGCAGCTTCCCGCACATGGCACATCATCGGTCGTACCGCCCACCCAACGCCCAGCACCCAGCACCCACCGAGCTGCACTGCTCCTTGCACCCAGCACCGAGCTGCACTGCTGCGGTGCAGGTGGACAAGATCTTCAAGGCAGCCGCGCTTGCCGCCAACTCCGCACGCATCCCGCTCGCCAAAATGGCGGTGGAGGAGACGGGCATGGGTGTTGTGGAGGACAAGGTGAGGAAGGAGCTTGCACTGGGTGCCACGGGCCTGGGTGATTTGCTGCAAAACCACATGCTCAACTGTCCGGCTGCACTCGCGGTGCTTTGCCTCGGATATTGGTGCTTCGCATGTTTGATCGACTGTCCAGCTGCATGCCTTGGACTGCTGGGCTTGGGGCTCACGCAGCTGCTGGCCTCCCCCCGCCACCCCGCAGGTCACCAAGAACCACTTCGCCTCTGAGTTTGTGTACAACAAGTGAGTGCGGTGTAACCTGCATGAACCCTCATCCCCCACGCACCCTCTTGCTCGCCTCCATCCCGAACCTGGCTGTACGCTGTGCGGTACGGTTGCAGGTACAAGAACGAGAAGACGTGCGGCGTGATTGAGGAGGATCCGTCTGGCGGCGTGACCAAGGTCGCCGAGCCTGTTGGGGTCATCGCAGGTGCGTTGCAGGCCTGCTGGGTGCATGCATGCATGCGCGCCATCCGTCACAGCCAAGGCTGTGGGGCTGCCTGGCTGCCCTGACCTGCCGCTGCCTGCTCCTGCCTGCCCTGCCGCTCTTCCTGCAGGCATCGGTGAGTTCCGAGCGGCTGGCGTCACGCAGCGGACTGCTGGCTGGCCGGGTCTTGGGCTGGCACCGCTTGGCTGGCGTGCCAGGCGGGGCGCCGGCCCTGGGCCGACAGCCTGGCAGCATCCCTCACGCCGATTGGCACTCGCCAGCATGCGCTCCCCGCTCCATCTCCACACCCTGCACCCGCACACTCCCCCCGACCCTGCAGTGCCCACAACCAACCCCACCTCCACTGCAATCTTCAAGGCCCTGCTCACCCTCAAGACCCGCAACGCGCTCATCCTGTGCCCCCACCCGCGCGCCACCAAGTGCACCGCCGCCGCCGCCAGGATCGTGCGGGACGCGGCCGAGGCGGCGGGCTGCCCGCCGGGCGTCATCTCCTGGATAGACTCCCCCTCCCTGCCCATCACACAGGCGGTGATGTCGGCACAGGAGGTGTCGCTGGTGCTGGCCACGGGCGGGCCCTCCATGGTGCGCCGCTGGCTGTGGCAGCTGCTGTGTGTCAAAGTGCATGGGGGGGGGGACGAGGGATGGCAGCAGCTTGAAAGGTCTTTCTCCTGCTGCCTGCCAGCCTGGCCCTGCTCCGACCACACCGCTCGCCCCCTGTTGCCCTTCCCGCCCGCAGGTGCGTGCCGCCTACTCGTCCGGCCACCCCGCGCTAGGTGTGGGCGCGGGCAACACCCCTGCCGTCATCGACGAGACCGCCGACGTGCAGACCGCCGTCTCCTCCATCCTCCTCTCCAAGGCAAGCAGGCGGCGGCAGCTCGGCAGCAGGCTGGCAGCGACCCGGCGCGGCGTTGCCGGCACAGAGCGCGGCCTTCTCGCCTATCCTGCGCGAATGCGCACCTGGCACACGCTGCCGCCGCCCACCCTGCCTCACATGCTTGCACCACACGCACGCGCCCCTCCTGCCCTGCAGACCTTTGACAATGGCGTCATCTGCGCCAGCGAGCAGAGCGTGGTGGTGGTGGATGCGGTGTACGACAAGGTGGTGGCGGAGTTCAGCCGGCGGGGAGCCTACTTCCTGAAGCCCGAGGAGAAGGACCAGGTGGGGTTGGGTGGGATTCTCGGGACCTGGTGTTGTGCGTGTGTGTGTGGGGGGGGGGACCAGGAGGCCAGGTGGGGGCTTTGTGTCGCCGCTCCCGGCCTACTGTGCCTCCTCTGCCTCGCCGCCTCACCCCCGTGCCTGCTTCCTCGCAAACCCCCGCACGCCTGCCGCTGTGCAGGTTCGCTCCAAGATTTTCGTGAACGGTCGCCTCAATGCCGACATCGTGGGGCAGTCCGCCCAGGTGGGAAATGAAGCAGAACTGCAGCTGTTGTGTGGTTGTTGTGCTGGGCGTGTCGGCAAGCTCCCGTGTGGCGTGTTCTGGCCTGGCCTTTGCGTGTCCCTGCCTGCATCAGCCGGCTGACCTCTTTGCCCTGCCTGGTCTGCCTGTGCCCTGGTCCCTCGTCCCTCGCCTGTCTGCAGAGGCTGGCCGATCTGTTCGGCATCACCGTCCCGTTCTGGACCAAGTGCATCATTGGAGAGGTGGGAGCCTGCTTTGAGCGATGCATGTGTTGACTGCCCTGCTGCTTTGAGGCCCCTGCTGCACATGCTGCTGCTCTCGCGCTGCCTCCCACGTCTGCTGTTGCCCTGGGTCGCTGACAGGTGGAGGTGATTGGCAAGGAGGAGCCCCTCAGCGAGGAGAAGCTGGTGAGCACATGGGCCGCCGCCTGCCGCTGGTACTGCCGCTAGTACCGTTGCCGGCAGATCCAAGTCGGACGCCCCGTGCTCTGCATTTGCTCATTCCCGCACCACCATGCCCAACACCTATGCGCCTATGGCCCCGCCCTGCCCTGCCTGTAGTGCCCGGTGCTGGCCATGTACCGCGCCAGCGACTTTGAGGATGCGGTGGACAAGGCCGCCCGCCTGGTCAACCTCTTCGGCCCCGGCCACACCAGGTGCGTGTCTGCGCCCTGCACTGCCCTGCGCGGACTACCCGCCCCGCGGGCCTTGAGTCGCTTGGCTGGCATGCAGTGTGCTGCACACCACGCCATTGCCAGTGTGCGCCCTGCTGTGCTCGACACGACAGCCCTGCCTCCCCCTCACTCAGCATCGCCCCGCCCCACACAGCCGTGCCCACCAGCCGCCCCCTGCCCCTGCCCCTGCCGCAGCGTGCTGTACACCAACCCTCGCAACCGCAAGCATATCGACTACTTTGCCCGCGTTGTCAAGACCGTGCGCATGCTGGTGAGCTGCTTGTGTATGGTGGTGGGCTGTGTGCGCATGCTGGTGGGCTGTGTGCATGCTGGTGGTGCTGCTGATGGTGGCTTGTGTGTGGTGGTGGTGGCGAGCTGGTGGTGGTGGCGTTACACACATGCACCGCCACACACGTCCCGCTCTTCGGCCACCCCCCAAACCGTGGGCAGGTCAACACACCAGCCTCCCAGGGCGCCATCGGCGACCTCTACAACTTCCAGCTGGACCCCTCCCTCACCCTGGGCTGCGGCTCCTGGGGCTCCACCTCCGTCTCCACCAGTGAGTGCCGGCAGGCTGGCCAGCAGGGGCAGCACTCGCAGCTCCCTTCCCAGTGCAGCAGCTGTGCAAGGGAGCACCCTGCTTCTGCTCACTTGCTGGCTGGTGGCCCAGACTGTGCTGTATGTCATTGTTCAGCTCCTGCTGGCGATCGCTTGCTGCGCCTGCTTCGCCTGCCCCTGCAGACGTCGGCCCCCAGCACCTGCTCAACATCAAGAGCGCCATCGAGCGGCGCGAGAACATGCTGTGGTTCCGCGTCCCTCCCAAGGTGCGCCCCCGTCGCCAGGCTGGGTAGCCGCCGCGGCAACGCCCTCCGCGACCCGCGCCAGCGGCAGCTCCGGGCGCAGCGATGCTGCCTGCGCTCCGCGCTGCTGCGGCCCCCGACCTTGCCTGTCCCTCCTGTGGGAAATTCCCCCCCTTTGCGTGGCGCTGCTGCAGCCCTTAAACTTTCCTTTCTGTGGGAACTTGCCCCCCTGTGTGTCTGTGCGCAGGTGTACTTCAAGGGCGGATCCCTGGGCACCGGCCTGCTGGACCTCAAGGGCAAGCAGCGCGCCTTCATCGTCACCGGTGCGCCTTGACATCAGCTCGCATGCGTGGCCCGGAGGCCTGCACCCTGCAGCACCCTCTCCAGCCTGCGGTGCCCCTGCCCCGCATGTCCTCCCTGTGCTGACCTTGCAGCTTCAGTTGCTCTCGCGGGCCGGCCTGCTGCCGCCCGGCTCAGCACCCCGCCGCCGCCCGCCCACGGCGCCGCTGTGATCGTTGCGTGCCCCGGTCCCTCGCTCTGCAGACAAGCCGCTGTTCGACCTGGGGTACGTGGACCGCGTGACTTCTGTGCTGGACAGCATGGGCATGCACCACCGCGTGTTTTACGACGTCGCCCCAGACCCCACCCGCACCTGCATCGAGGCGGGGGTGGCAGAAATCAACGAGTTCAGGTGGATATGCAGCTGGCTGGCTGGCTGGCGGCTGGCTGGCTGGCAGCGGGCTGTGCTTCACGGGGCCTGAGATATGCGTGCCCGCCGGGCTGCTAGCGTCGGCGCATCGATCACAGTGGCCAGGTGGCCGCCGCACTCTCTGCAGCCAGCTTGGGTGCCCGTTCATCCCTGCGCGCGCGCCTCCTGGGTGTGTGTGCAGGCCCGATGTGATTATCGCCCTGGGAGGCGGCTCTCCCATGGATGCTGCCAAGGTCATGTGGCTGATGTATGAGGTGAGTGAGGCCCTGGGGTCACAGTGTGTGGAGCACCAGAGCGCTGCTGTGGTACCCTTGGGGGCTCTGCACTGCGCCAGAGGCTGGCGAAGGGGATTCGCCTGGCGGGGTCAGCAGCAGCAGCACCAGGAGCAGGCCGCCGCGCGCCTGTGCCCGCGCGCGCCTGCAGCTCGCCTGAGCTGCTGGCGCAGCAGTATGAGAGGGCTCGGGGACCTCGGAACGAGCCGCTTGCCCTGCTGCCCTGCAGGTCCCCGATGTGGAGTTTGAGAGCCTTGCGGTTCGCTTCATGGACATCCGCAAAAGGGTCTACACGGTGGGTCAGTGGTGGTGTGGGCTGTCGGGTGTGCATGTGTGTGTGTGATGATGGGGCAGACCGGTGCGTGGCGTGTGGAGGCTGCCTTGCCTGCTCGCTGCCTGCCGGCTGCTGGTGTTCGTGCCGCTGCTCAAGGCTTCAAGCATGCACGTGTGTGTCGTCTGCCCACCCCACCGCTCCTCGCTCGCCCCTGGCTGCAGGTGCCTGAGCTGGGCAAGAAGGCGGACATGGTGTGCGTGCCCACCACCTCTGGCACGGGCTCCGAGGTCACTCCCTTTGCGGGTGGGTGCACACGCACCCTGCTGCTGACATCCAGCTGTTGCCACCACCGCCGCCGCCGCTGCCCCGGCTGCCTGTACCACCTTTGGCCAACCCCTTCTGGCCACCACCCCGCACGTGCCTGGCCCAATCACCCCTTATGCGTGCACGCCCTCCCCCTGCTGCCCTCCTCAGTGGTGACCGACGACAAGACGGGACAGAAGTATCCTCTGGCGGACTACGCCCTCACCCCCACCATGGCCATCGTGGACACGCACCTGGTGCTCAACATGCCGCCCAAGCTGACGGCCTACGGCGGGCTGGACACCCTGACCCACGCCCTGGAGTCGTATGTGGTGGGTGTCACCCGTATGAGCTGCTTGGGAGCCTAGCCTGGGCGGCAGCTGGACCGCCAGTGCGGCGTGCCGCGGAGCGCATTTTGGGCAGCGTTCAATGAAGAGCAGAGGAGCCACCCTGCCTGCGCTGGTGCACGTAGCTGCTCCTCGTGCATCTCCTCCCCTGCCGGTCTCCTTGCAGTCAACCATCTCCGCTTCCATGCCCGCCCCACGCCTGCCTGCAGTCCATCTTCGCCACCCCCTACACCAAGGGCCTCAGCAAGGAGGCCACCGCGCTGTGAGCTGCCACCAGCTGGCGGCACACTGCTGCTGCTGCTGTCGCCGCTGCTGCGCGCATGTTGGCATTGGTGGCGATGTGCATGGTGTGTGTGTGTGCGCGTCTGTGGCCTTGCTGGTGCAGATGCCGAGCCGATCTCGTGTCTATCAACTCGCTCCACCGCCCTGACACGTTGCTCGTGCCTTCTTGCCCGCAGCATCCTCAAGTACCTGCCCCGCGCCTACGCCAACGGCTCCGAGGACTACGAGGCCCGAGAGAACGTGCACTCCGCCGCCACCATCGCAGGCGAGACACTGCCAAGGCATGGCGCTCGCACCCCCAGAGCCTCCCACTCCCTCCCGCTCCCTGCCTCTCTCCCACCGGCATCCTTACCTTGCCTCCCACCCTCCCACGCCTCCCATTGCTGACCTCCCACCCCATCCAACCGTACTCCTCCCCCGCCTGCAGGCATGGCCTTTGGCAACGCCATGCTGGGCATCTGCCACTCCATGGCGCACAAGCTGGGCGCGCAGTTCCACGTGCCGCACGGCCTGGCCAACGCCGCCCTCATCTCACACGTCATCCGCTTCAACGCCACTGACAGGCCGCCCAAGCAGGTGCGCGGCGCTGGGGTGCACTCGTCTCCGGGCTCCCACCACCGCCCGCGTCCCTCGTCCCAGCACGGCTGCGTGCCAGGTTGGCATGCCACCTGCTCACGCTTCCTTCGTTGAGCTGTCCTCCTCCTCCTCCTCCCGCCTCCTCCCGTGTTGTACCTCAGGCAGCGTTTCCACAGTACGAGTACCCGCGAGGCAAGGAGCGGTACGCTGAGCTGGCAGACATGCTGGGCCTTGGCGGCGTCAAGCCCCGCGACAAGGTGGTGAATCTGATCCACGCTGTGGAGGGGCTCAAGGCGCAGTGCGGCGTGCCGGTGAGCGGGGCCGCCGCTGCTGCCAGCGCCGCTGGTGGCCGTCGGCATGGGGCTGTTCGGGTGATTGGGGTTGGGGGCTGGCGCAGCCGCGTGCCATGACCCAGGCAGCATGCCACTCGCAGTGCCAACATGTGCCTGCTGTGCCTGCTGTGGTGTGCAGCCCACGCTGCGCGAGATCATCGGCGCCGAAAGGGAAGCTGAGTACATGGCGGCGCTGGATGAGATGGCGGAAAACGCGTTTGATGATCAGGTGCAGCGGTACATGATGCAGTAACTGTGGTGGTACCAGGCAGTACAGAAATGACCACAGAGGTTTTGGGGCCCAGCAGGGTGGAGCGCAGCGGACGGACGCTGGGCTGGTGCCCAAGCCGTTTGGTGCCTCCCCTGCTCGCCAACCACTTGGCTCCTTGCCCCCATCCCGCCCTGCCTGCCGCAGTGCACCGGCGCCAACCCACGCTTCCCGCGCATCTCCGAGCTCAGGCAGATGCTGAAGGATGCCTGGGAGGCGCCCATTGCCGACAGCCTGACTGCAGAGGCGGGCCTGGGGGCCACGCAGGTGCCCATCCGGTAAAGGAAGAGGGACCCCACGCCCAGTGCAGCAGGCAGTCGCTGCGGCGGCGGCGGCAGCGCGCGTCGTGTGCTGAGGTGCCGCCGATCAGCATCATGAGCTGGCAGCATGAGCTGGCAGCACTGCTGTACATGCGGACCATCGCTGCGGTGCATGCGGAGTCGAGCAAGATGATGATTTCAAGCATGCATGCTTGACTGGAGATGGATACATATGTTGTGTACGTTATGCCACAAACCAACCTGAACCAGCCGACCAACGGATGGCCAGCACATTTGTTGCCACCCCCAACGCATGTTTGTTGCCAACCCCCTCTGTTTCGGCTCGTTATTCCCTTAAAGCGTTCAGTCTAGTGCACGATACTTCTGTCTCTGTCTTTCTGTACCCTCCCTGGATCTTACACAGCGTGTACGCTGCTAACGCCCTCGTGCGGCCGCGCACCTGTTCTCCAAGGCTTCCGTTTGTCAGTGTCGGTTTCATTAGCTCTGTCGCTAGCTCAGTCTGCAACCCTCCTCCTTGATATCCCCTAGCATTCCTTTTGGAGAGCCGAGTAAGCTCTTGATATTCATTTTTTCCATCGTGTAACCCTGTATTGGTGGCTGAGGGGAGTTGCTGCCGCCGCCCGCCAGCGAGACCGCCAGCGAGGCGTCGCCTGGGACATCCCCAGAAGAACGAACCCTCTCCCAGTCGCTCCCTGCCCTCCTGCCTGTCGCCCTGCAATTGATCTGTGGAGTGCTTCCAGGCTCAGGCCACCAACCAGCAGCAGCCCTACCACATCACAGCCGGCCTCTCCACTCCCCCAACAGGCATGGCAGAGGAACCAGAGCGCTCTGCCAGCTTCACATTCCCAGACCTCACAGCATCCGCCGAGGTGCGGGGGGGCAGCTGCTGCCCGGGTGATGGGCACAATCTGCTTCCAACCATCCGTGCTGCTTCTTGGAGCGTTGCCATTCTTGTGAAAAAGGGCGCACAGGGCAATCCGCTGTAACGGCGCTGACGGCAAGGACCGGCGGCACCACCGGCAGCTAGTGAGCATGAGCCGGGCAGCTGATTTATGTGCACATGGGATTACTCACGGGTGCCATACTGCTGAGCCTCGTACGTGCAGGGCCCAGCAGCCGCTCCTGGAGTGGAGATGCCGCGGCTGGCGACTGCCGCCGCGTCCTTAGGCCTGCCCTGCCCGAGGCCCTTGCCGCCGCGTCCCTCTGTGCCTCCTCCTCTCCCCCGCCGACTGCTGCCGCCAGCCATGCCGGGGTGGGGACACGTCCCGTCCGCAAACGGCAGCAGCGGCAGCGGCGGCGGCGGCGGCGGCCCGGGGCCGGCAGAGGGCGCACCGTTCCGAGCGGCGTCACTGGATGCTGCGGCAGCCCTGCTGCAGCTGCCGCTCGAGCCTGGCAGCGGCGGCCCCGCAGGGCCCACCATGCCTGGCGCCAACGCCGGCAGGCAGCAGCGCCACAGGCCCCCGCTGCCGCCGCTGCGGCCATCGGCCCAGCCAGCCGCAAAGCGGGCCAGGACCGAGGGAACGGACCTGGATATTGAGGCGTTGCCGCAGCTTCTGAATCAGCAGCAGCAGCAGCAGCAGCCCCAGCAGCAGTCCCAGCCTCCAGGCCTGTCCCTGGACTGGCAAGCGGCCCTGCTCGCGGCGGTCTTGGCGGCTTCGGCGGGCACGCAGCAGCCGCCGTCGCCGGCGGTCTCACCCAGCCCGCCGCCGCCGCCCAGCAGCCCACCAGGCGCGGGCGCCACTCTTCAGGACCAGCTCGCCAGCTCCAGCCACCTGCCCACGCCCAGCATTCCGGCGGGCGTCCAAGCCACCTCTCCGCCCACCCCTGCCGCCCCCGGCACCTCGTCTGCAGCTGCTGCCGGCGGCTCCCTGCACCAGCAGCTGCTGAGCCTGCTGCAGGCACAGCCTGGTGCGGGACCACAGCAGCCGCGCCAGCCGCCCTGGCAGCCCGCAACGCCGCCCACCCCACCGCTGGACAGGGTGGCAGCAGCGGAGCCATCGCACTCCCCTGTGCCAGCGCTGGGTTCAGGCCCAACCCTGCCAGCGGCACCACCGCCAAGCACCGTGCCGCCACCCAGGCCCGAGCGCACCCCCGAGCAACGGCAGCAGGTTTTCGAGCATTCGGGTGAGCGTAACGTATTCTGCAACAGGAGCGGCAGCAAGTGTCGAGCCTGCCTTCTGTCGCATGCCGGTGTGGGTGCGGCGGCCGGGGCTCATGTCCAGCCACGGATGCCCGCCGCTGGTGCTCGGGCCCAACCTGAGCGGTGGCGCCTGTGGTGCCCCCTCGTCTCCCTGCCTGCAGTGGGCATCTGCATCCGCCTGCTGCAGCAGATGCAGCAGCAGCAGGCGGCGCAGGAGGCGCAGGGCGCCAGCCAGCAGCTCCAACTGGACCTTCTGCAGCAGTGGGCGCAGGTGCGGCGGCAGAGGGGCCAGCACCGTCCAGCCGCTGGACAGCTGCTTGTGACGGCCATGGGAGCCGTCAGCCTGAGTGCTTCCGTCGCCTGTGTCCTCCCTTGCGGCTCCCTCCCAGCCCCATGTGTGTGAGCGTGGCTCCCTGGCCTGGCCCCTGCCTGCACGCTGCCTGCAGAAGGTGCGCGGCTGCATCCAGCAGATGCAATCCGGGTGGAGGGAGCTGGTGGCGGTGATGCAGGCAGCAGTGGCGGAGACGGCTGTGGAGCTGAGGCGGCAGGGGGACCTGCTGGACCTGCTGGTGGCAGCTGGGGTAGCGCAGCAGCAGCAGCAGGAGCAGCAGGAGCAGCAGGAGCAGCTGGAGCAGCAGGGGAACGAGGGGAAGGAGGCGCAGCAGCAGCCTCAGGCTTCTGAGGAGGGCGCCAAGCTAGAGACGGCAGGCACGGCGCAGCAGGTCGCGGCGCAGTCTGCAGGGCAGGGCAACCAGCCGCCGCAGCTGCGCGCCGCACCAGCTGTGTCCGTGCTGCAGCAGCAGCTGAGAGCGCAGCAGCTGGGGGATCTGTCCGGGGAGAATGGCGCCCTCCGCCAGCAGCTGACTCAGCTGTGGAACAACCAGGTGGGGGCGCTGGTGCGGAATGCGCAGTGGCAATCTTTTCTCGCAAGTCCGCTCTCTACGATGGCGCTTCTGCATTCAAGTTGTGGCTCAGGCTTGTCCCGCTGGTTGTTGTTGTGTGCACCCTTTCTTCCTTGCTCCTGCCACATGCAGAGGGAGCATGCGGCTCAGTCTGAGAAGCTGGCGGCTGCGATGGCCCAGACGCAGCAAGAGCACCAGCGGCGGGAGCAGCTAGAGAGCGTGGTGGCCGCGCTGCAGATGCAGATCAAGGCCCTGCTGGCGGCGCTCGGGGTGGTGCCCCCACATGCACCTGGCGGCGGCGGCGGCGGCGGCAGCGGCGGTCACCACAAGTGATTGCAAGGGGCCCTTCCCGGCGCTCGCCAGTACACAGCAGCCAACATGAGTTGATGCATTTGCCCTTGATGCATTTGCCCTTCTTTGCTTGCTCTTTCCCGTGTCTCATGCTGCGCCAAGACTGTCCCCTGCCTCTTCTTTGTTCAAGATCCCTCTTTCTTTGCCAAGACTGTCCCCTGCCTCTTCTTTGTTCAAGGTCCCTCTCTCTTTGCTCCTATGCATTCTGACCTGCATTTGCTGACAAGCCTTCCCAGTATGCCCGTGCTGCGTTGTCTTCCTCCTTCTTGCTTTAAGATGTATGTGCGTTGCTGTTTACAGCTTATGCCAACTGTCACCAGATGCCGCACACTCGCCACCACGTCGCGCCCGCCAGCAGCCAGACCGCGAGGCAGAAGGCGGCGCAGGCCGCGCCGTGCCTATACCATTGTGCGTGCGTCACGTAGCCGGCAGCGTAGTAGGCAGGTGCCGAGCCGGTGCCGTTGGTGGTCAGGCAGCCCATGGGGCTTGACAGCTGGCCTGCATGCACACACGCACGGCAGGCAGCCGCAGTGGGCGCCAGCCTGGCAGCCTGCGTGCTGTGGCAGGAAAGGTGGTAGGCCGAGGAGAGAGGGTGGAGCAGGCAGGTGAGCCGGCTGGCGGACGGGCAGGGCTGGCGGGCAGACAGCGCTCACCCAGCGCTAGCGCCGCCACCAGCCCCGGGGTGCCGCAGGCGACTGCCGCCGCCAGGAACGCTTGGTACATGGCTCCCACGTGGGCCGAGCCTGGGAGGAGAGGACGGCAGCAGACGGCAGAATGAGCAGCGGCAGGTGGTGGCAAGCAATATGCAAATGCTAGCATGCAGCTGCTGCAACCTGTTGGGCAGGTTCAATCTGAAGGTTCAGGCAGCCCCCCAGCAACCTAGCCAGCAGATGTTGCTCACTGGAGGCAAACACGTGGTGGGAGTAGAAGTAGGCGGCCAGGATGATGACGAAACTGGAGCGCCAGCCCAGCCCCAGGCCGCCCACGTGCTTCACCACCTGGGCAGCGGGTTGGGGCGCAGCATCACGCAGTCGCACCGGCTGTCTGTCTGTGAGTTGAGCAGGCAGCAGGCAGCCCGATGGCGCGAGTAGGCAGCCAGAGCTCAAGGCTGGGCGCCCGCTGCCTTCCCCTGCTGCGCCGGCAGGCGGCTTCCTCCGTGCCTGGGAGGACAGCCAGGGGATGAGCCCCAGGGTATTGAGCTGGGAGGACATGGTCATGAGCACGCCAAACCAGATGACGGTATCCAAGGCCTGATGGTCGGCCAGGCACTGCTTCCAGGTCACCACGCCTGCGGGCGCCGGCATGCCTGGCATCGGGTGGTAGTACGTGGCGGGCAGCGGCAGCGGCTGGCCCGCCAGTGGTTTGGCGGCCCAGGCAGTGTGTGGCGGCAGCAGCTGGGCGGCCCAGGTGTGTGGCGGCACGGATGCGGTCCAATCAGGAGGCGGCCTGGAGCGAGAGCAGGCAGCGACTGGCCAGCCAGCAGCGCCGGCCCGCAGCGGCGCGGCCAGCGGTCTGCCACCAATGCCAGGCCGCACCTGAAACAAGCAGGATGGCTAGGCCGGTGAGGGTGGCCGCCACGGCGCTCACGCCCAGCGGCCCGCCCAGGACCCACAGCGCCAGCGTGACGCCCAGCGCCGCCGCCGTCAGCTGCTCGTCGCCGCTGAAGGGCCCCAGCTTGGCCAGCTCCTCTCGAGCCTGCGGGCGGCGTCGGGTGGGATAGGTACGTGAGCTAATCAGCGGGCTGATGGGCCGGCGTGCTGGTGGGATAATAGCAGCGGGTGGGCGGCTGGGCAGCTTGGGGCAAGGCAGGGAAGGTACGGCGCCATGGATCCTCGCCAGGCCTTCATGCAAGCGCACAACGCTGCTGCTTCCCGCGCCCCTGCTACTGCAGCTGCCGCCTGGGCCCTGCCTTGGCGGGGGCGTCTGGTGTGTCTCTGAGCTCTGGAGGATCCAGCAGGTAGAGCAGGGCAGGGATGGACAGCAGGCAGACCGCCCCTGGCACCGCACCCGCAAGCGCCCACCTCCTGCCACCGGCGGCGGGAGTTGCAGGAGTCACGGGAGGAGGGAGAGGTCATGCTGGCACGCAGCAGCGGCGGGTGGTACCGCGTGGCGAGGCACCACGCAGTACCACACGTATCACCGTGTGGTACTGCCCAGGAGCAGCTCGCGCGCCGGACGGCGGCAGCGGACAAAGCGTCAGCGCCCCACCCGCCGCCCGGCGCGCCCTGCAGCCGGCCTCCCCGCCTCACCCCCAGGAGATGGCGGCGCCGTCCAGCGCCTGTGCTGCCAGGCTGATGGCCAGCGGGTTGGCTGTGCAGGCAGTGATGAACATCCCAGAGGTTACTGTGGTGCACAGGAAGCAGGCCATGAGGGTGAAGGAGCCCATCCTGCGCTCGGTGCCGGCGGCGGAGTCGGAGCCTGCGGCGCAGGGAGCGGGAGGAGGTCGAGCAGAAGAGCAGAGGAGCGGAACAGAGCCAAGCAGTGTGAGGCGGCGAGCGGGAAGTGCCCAGGCAGTGGGGCAGGCAGCAGGCAGCAGGCAGCAGGCGGTGCGAGGCAGCGGCGGCAGCCGGGGGCGCACCGCACGCGACGCAGAGGGCTTTGGTGATGGGCAGCATCAGGCCGCCGGCGCGGGCGGCGACCGAGGGGATGGCGGGCGCCAGCAGCGCCTCTGCCCCCACCAGAGAGTAGGTCAGGCCCTGCGGTGGGGGATGGGGATGGGCCGCAGTAGTGGTGGTGTGTGTGTGTGTGCAAAATGCACAGACATGCCGGGCAGCGGCGGCAAGGTGCAGTCGTGCGGCAAAACAAGAATCAATCAGGGGTGCCGGCGCTGCTACCCACCAGTGTGGTACTGCCGAACAGCGAGACTATGGTGTATGCGATCCGGGCGCCCAGCCCCGAGCGCATGAAGCCTCCCGACAGCCAAAACGCGGCGGCCACCAGCCAGGGCAAGTCGGAAGCAAAGGCCGAAAACGCGGCAGAGGGGGGTATTGCACCGGTCAGCATGGCAGAGCATAGCCCAAGCAAGCACACTGCGCCCAGGGGCAGCGGCGTGAGGATGATGCCGGTGATCGTTGAGAGGAAGACCGCAAACAGGCGCCACGCGGCGGGCGCGACGCCGTGCGGCGGCGGCAGCAGCCAGACGGACGCCCCCACGGCGGCGCAGTAGGCGAGCTTTCGTAGGTCGGCGCCCCGCTTATGCGCTGCGGGGGGGTGACAGGTGGGGGCGATGATCGAGTGAGGGTCACCATGAGTATGGGGGAGACAGTGGCTGGCGGAAGAAGAGGAGGCTCAGGACGGCATGTTCGCAAAGGCAGCGGCGGCGGCGGCGGCGGCGGCGGCGGCGGCGCTGACTGCTCTGTTACCGGGTAACGCGATGCCCGGCACTGCACCCGCTTGGTCCACGTCAAAGCGGACCCTCCTGGCACGCAGGGGGGAGCCATCCTCGCCTCCCATGACACCCAAGCCTAGCGGCTATCGTGCGGCGGTGAGGTCGATGCAGCATTGACGGGCGCAGCTCCTGCAAGCGATTGGGGCCCTCCGAAAGCTTTCAAGGTTTGCCTCGCTGGCGGGCGCGAAGACCGTAGCATCCCTGATGCCCGCCTGCAGCCATTGCTTTGTGATCTGCAACCGGAAGTCTTCTAACAGGCTCACCCGCGCGCCAGGGTGGGCACCCTCTCCCCCACAGGTGCAACAGGCTTCCTCTGGACCACTCAAAACACTCTAGGTGAGTCGGTGTTGGGTGTTGGGACTACAGCGCCACCCGCCGGCGGGCCTACGTGTCTTGGCGGCTGCCAGCGGGAGTCCTCCCGCCCTTGGCCGCCTGCCCTGTGCCGCCGCCTGGCGGCTTCTCCGCCAACCCCACTCCCCCTCTGTCCACCTCTCCTGTGCAGCGTGGCTGGCTGGCACCCGCCATGGCCCCGCAGGCTGCCCAGCTGCAGCTGCTGGACTTGTCGGCAGACCTGCTGTACCGCATCTTCTGCCAGCTGCCCTTCACCGAGCGCCTGCAGCTGTCGCATGTGTCCCGCAAGTGCCGCCAGCTGTGCGCGGCGCCCAGCGAGCTGTGGCGCCGCGTGGACGCGCAGCCGGCGGCGGTGGAGGGGCTGTTGGGGGCCAACGAGGATGCCTTCAACCCAGTCCAGCAGGCCCTAGCGGGCGTCTCCCAGTTTGCAGAGTGAGCAGGCAGGCCTCGGCCCAGCCCCGTCTGCCTGCCGGCCTGCCCCGTCTGCCTGCGGCGCCGTGCGGCGTGAGGCCGGCGCCGCTGCAGGCCTGCACACGGCGCCTGCCCGCCTCCCTGCGTGCCTTTGCTCCAACATGCACTGCGGCACTGACGAGCGCTCCACGGCCTGCCGCGTGTGCTGCCGCCCTGCAGTTGGCTGGCCCCGCGGGCGCCTGCGGTGGAGGAGCTGCGCTTCCAGTTCCGCCCCGCCGCGCTGCCGCCGGTGCCGGTGCCGCTGCCGCACATGCTGCTGCCGGTGCTGCGGTGCGAGGCGCTGCCGCTGCTGCGCCTGCTGTCCATCGACTGGGGCTCGGCAGCCACCTTCACCATCTACGGCGCTGCGGGAGGCCCCGCGCTGCCGGCCCTGGCCAGCCTCGAGTTTTACGGCGGCACCCACCTCATGGTGCCGCCCACGGAGAGTCAGGCCGCCGCCACCGCCGCCCTGCCGCGGCTGGAGGCCTTTGGCCTCTTTGACAGCCTCCTCTCGGGCTCCTTCCACTCCCCCTGGCTGCCCCCCACCCTCACCAAGCTCTGCCTGTCCAACTGCGGCCTCGAGGGGCTGCCAGGGGTGCTGGCGCACCTGCCCAGGCTGCGCAGGCAAGGCCCGCTGGCTGTGCAGCGGCCCCGCCCGGCATGCATGCGCCTGCAGCTTGCACGCCCTCGCCAGCCCTGCGCCGATTGAGCTTGCTCCACGCCCGCACCTGCTGCCTCGGACTCGCCTGCTTGCCCCGGCTCCTGCCGCTGCCGTGCAGCCTGACGGCGGACCGAAACGGCTCCCTCGGTGCCGCCAGCTTCAGTGTGCTGACCCACCTGTCGCGGCTGGAGGACCTGAACCTGAGCGAGAACTACCTCAGCACCTTCCCACACCAGGTGCCACCTGAGCCGAAATGGGAGGAGGGGGAGGATGCGGCGTATGCATACATGACTGGGCATGGGCTCGTTGTTGCTCCTGGGTGTCTGGGGGGGTGCGAGGCAGCAGGGGACCTGCGTACATGCTGCTGGTTGTTGCATGGCGCCGCGGGGTACGAGTGCCTGCTCGGCTTCTGTGGCCGGCGCCACCCCCCGGAGCCTCCTGCTGCCCAGAGCGCAGCCGCACGTGCTCCTGCGTACCAGCCTTTGCCGCATCCCGGCCTTGCACACACGCAGGTGTCCGTGCTCACCAACCTGCGCATCCTGTACCTGCACCGCTGCTTTGCGGCGGAGAGCGCGCTGCGCCCGGCGTGCTGGGCCGCGCTGCGCCCGCTCACCCGCCTCGCCTTCCTCTCCATCTCCGGCAACAAGCTCGCCGAGCTGCCTGCTGTGGTCGGGGAAATGACGCAGCTGCAGGTGGGGCTGTGCTGTGCTGTGCTGTGCTGTGGCTGGGTTGGGCTGGGCAGGGCAGGGCCCAACCTGGGCAGGGCCCAAGCTCGCGCCGGGCCAGCTAGCAGTGCCAGGGGCCCGGTTCCATTCGCGGTGGCCTGGGTTCCTCTGCTGCGCACTTGCATACACACACGCGCACGCTGGTGCTGTCTGCCGTGCGCTGCTGCCTGCAGGCGCTGCACCTGGAGGAGAATGAGTTCCGGGACTTGTCGGTGGCGCCCGTGTGCGCCAACCTGCGCGAGCTGCTTCTGGACTGGAAGAACGCCATGCTGTCGCCGCACACGCTGAGCGCCTGCACCCAGCTGTCCCGCCTCATCCTGTGCGACCACTGCGTGACGGTGGCGGCGCCGCCGCAGCACACCGTGCGCGTGCCGCCGGCGGCGGCGGCGGCCGACGCGCTGGCGGACGCGCTGTCGTCGATGCCGGCGCTGCGGCTGGTGCAGGATGTGCTGCCCCCGCAGGAGTACCTGATCGTCACCGCCCCCGTGGCGCGCGCCATGTGGCTGCTGCCCAGGCGCTGCCCGCACCTGCGGGTCGAGCTCCTGGAAGGAACGTACGTCGGTTGGACGCTGGCTGACCTGGAGCGGCACGAGCAGCCAGCTGGCCACGTGGACGACACCGACAGCTGGCCGTGAAGGCCCAAGTGAAGCGTGAAGCGCCCCCTGGCACAGCTTGCTCCCTCACCTTGGGACCTTTGATGGAGTCGAATGTGTGCCCCTTGTCGTCATCGCAGCCCCCTTGCAGTTGCCGCCCGTCGCCGCCCGCTTCCCGCTGTTCACAGAAGTTGCCCTGCCTGGCCCCACTTGCTCTGTCATGATGTTACACAGCTTGTTGCTGACTGGCCTGTTCAGATTTAACATCAGGGCGCCAGCAGAGGCTAGGGCAGCGAGCCTGCTCATGCAGGTGGAAAGTAGCTCGCTTGTTCAGCCACCAGGCGCAAGCACCTACATGGCCAGGCCCACAAAGATCTCTGTCCAGGTAGCCAGCTGGTTGCTTCAGAGCACCACTAGGCAGGCCCTCGCACGCCCAGGGGCGCCTGCCCCTGCTGCAGCCTTCTGCCGTGGACCTCTGCAGCCTCGGATTGCTGTAGCCAAGGCACAGGACGGCCAGCTGCGAGCAGCCGAGGCCAGCATGCCCTCCCTCTTCCCGCCCGCCGCCTCAGCCTCGCCGACGGCGGCCGCCGCGGCAGAGCAGGCTGTGGCGCTCATGCACCGCCAGCTGGCCCTGCAGCAGGACCTGCTCGAGGCAGCTGCGGAGCGAGTGGCGCAGGCGCAGAACGAGCTGCAGGGTGCGCTGCAGCTGCTGAGCCTGGAGCAGCAGGAGACGGCGGCTCTGAGGAGCCGGGTGCGGGCCGCAGAGTGGGAGGCCCAGCAGGCGAGCCGCAGCGTGGCGCACTTGCAGGAGCGATACGCCGCCGCGCAGCAGGCGCACCAGCAGCAGCTGAGGCGGCTGGAGGAGGAGGCTCGCACCCAGCGCATGCACCGCGCGGGGCTGGAGGGGCAGCTGCAGGGCTTCACCAGGATGCTGCAGCCCCTGAGGCAGCGGGCCGAGCTGGCCGAGCAGCGTGCGGCGCGGGCCGAGCAGGCGCTGGCTGCCCACCTATCCAGCCTCCAGGATGTCAGTGTGGAGGATGAGGATGTGTGGCCAGCAGAGGGGGAGGAGGAGGGGGAGGAGACGGAAGCGGCTGTGGAGGAGGCCACAGAGGACGTGGAGTCCCCCTTGCCAGAAGAGCGCCCCACCTCGCTGCGCCCCACCGCGCAGCCCTTTGAGCCGCACCCGCGCCAGGCGGCAGCACCGGATGACAGCGAGCCTGAACTGGCCGGGACGGCCAGGCGCTGGGCCGAGGAGGCGGAGAGGTGGGGAGACGAGGCAGCAGAGGAGGCGGCGGAGGCGGCCGAGGAGCAGCTCCAGCTGGAAGAGGGAGAGCAGGAGGCACCAGCAGCTGGGCTTGACCTCAGAGGCCCAACCTCCAGCGGCACCACCAGCCCCGTCGCCGAAGCGGCAGCAGCCGAGGCGCCCCTGCCTGTCAGCCCCTCAGCCGGGCTGCGCCCCGCAGCGCCCGCCTTCCAGCCGCTGCGAGAGCAGCAGCAGCAGACGGTGTCGCTTGAGGAGGAGGCAGCGGCGGCGGCGGTGGCGGCGGCGGCGGAGGAGGAGGTGGTGGAGGAGGAGCCCACCACTGAGTGGCGTGGCGGTCAGGTCGGGGCAGCGGAGGAGGTGGAGGAGCAGGCCGTGGAGGCAGCAGAGGAGCTGGATTATGAGGAGGCCGAGCTGGGGCAGATTGCAGCAGAGGAGGAGGATGGCGAGGAGGAGGAGGACAAGCCCCCAGCAGCACCCGCGGTGCAGGAGCAGACTGGAGCTGGTGTGAACGAGGCCCCGGGCAGTGCATCGCCTGCACACGAGGAGGTGCTGCCAGCGCCGCCGCTCAGTCGGCCGCTGAGGCTGAGCGCTGCGGCGCAGCCCTTTGTGCCCAAGCAGCTGTGAGGTGGCAGTCGCGTGCAGGAGGTGGCCTGATGCACATGAGTTTCCTTAGCTTCAGCTTTCTTAGCAGCAACCAGTTCTGGTTGCCCAGAGTACTGGCAGGACAGACGTGCTTTTGTAATAGCAAAACAGCAATAACTAACATCTACTTTCCAAGTGGCCCAGCCTGTCCGCGCCTCGCCTGCCGCGCACGGCGCGGTGCTGCTGCTTACATGCACCGGTGCATGCGGTAGGTGGTACATGCATGCGTGTGGCCTCTGCGAAAGTAAGTATTGCAGTGTGGTCTGGTCAGGACAGCGCAGTGCTGGTCCTGTAGGGAAGTGGTACAGGTGGGCAGTGAGGGTACTGGGGCAGACGGGGTGGGACAGACACGGCGCGGTTGCACCGGTGAAAAGGGAAGGGGAGGTGCAAAAAGGGCAGCAGGAGCATGGTTTGAGAGGAGGGAGAGTACATAAATTGGGCAACAGGAGGAAAACTGAGCAGGGCGAAAGGCCCCCGGGAGGCACAACAACCAAAGACCAACTGAGGAGCAACCAGTGGCAGGAAAGCAGGCAGGCAGGGCCTGTGGCAGCTGGTTGCCCGCTGCGGGCAGATGCCAGCTGCCACTTTTCCCGGATGCACGCCGACACAAACGCCGAGGTGCCCCTTTGGAAAGCAGCTACCCCTCCAGTCACCGCCCCGGCGAGGAGGCGACGCCGTCTGCCGCCGCCGCGGCCGCCGCCTGCTGCTGCTGCTCCTGCTGCCAGTGCTGCAGCGCGGCGCGTATGTGGGGCTGCACCCGCGCCACAAACTTGGGCGCAAACTCAGCGAGGGCGCTGCACGCAGGCGGGGGCGGCGGCAGGAGCGCTCGATCACACAGGCCATAGGCTGGCACCTGCCATACACAGCCAGGGCACCAGGAGAACACACTCGGCTGTGCAGCCGCGGAACGCACAGCTCACAAACCCCTGCCAGCTCTGGGCTACTGCGGCGGCCTGCGCGGCAGCATGCATGCAGCCCTAGCCCTCTGGCCCGCCCCTGCCGGCTGCGCACTTGAAGCAGGGCTTCACCACATACTCCACAAACGTCAGCTGGCTCTGCGCCACCGACGCCTTGCGGCGGTCGCAGATGGAAGAGACGGGCAGGCCCAACGCCGCCTCCTTGTCGCCTGGCAGGCACGGGGCAGGGGGTGTGCGGTGCGGCGCGGTTGGGGCGACGTGCGGCGATGTGTGGGGCGGTGGCGGCGATGTGTGGGAGCTGGTCAACGCGTGGGGATGCACAATAGACAGCAGTACAAGGAGCAAAGAAGCACGCCAGGACCACACGAGAGGAACGTGGCTGCAGGCCACAGGCGGCGGCGGCGGCCCTCACCCTGCACGAAGAATTCCTCGTGCACCTTGTGCCCCCACTGGCAGCAGTACCGCAGCGGGCGCGCCGGGTTTGAGATGTCGGCCGCGTGCACCAGCAGCTGCAGGAATGGGCGGCGGCGACACGCAGAGGGGCAGCTGGGAACCCTGAGCCAGCAGCGGCGGCACGTCGCAGCCCCGCAGCCACACCGGCAGGCCCTGGGCGCCGCCCGCCGGCCCTGGCCAGCGCCAGCCACCAGCCCTGGCAGGCCGCCGCCGCCGCCGCCGCAGCAGCAGCGCCGCCACACCTGCAGCGCCACTGCGCGCTTGTCGGGGGCCCCCCAGGCCGCCAGGTCGGGCCCCCAGAGCCGCAGCGCGGCCGCAAACTCCTCCACGCCGTCGTGGTGCGCCGCCATGTCTGTGCTAAGGATGATGCGGATGACGAGGCGGCGGAAGTAGCGGAAGTCCTCCTCGCTCAGCCTGCGGCACACGGGCGGTGCGCAGGCATGCATTGTGTGCATGGGGTGGGAGGCAGCGACGCGGGAGGCGGCGCCACTGCAGCAGCCTTGGCCCCTGCCACCCAGCCCACCCCCGCCCACCCCTTGGGAAGAAAAGAAAAGGAAAGAAAAGCAGCAGCAAAGCCGCGGCCGGCGCCGCGCCCCACCTCGCCAGGAAGTTGTTCTCCTTCTTGGCCAGCAGCTTGAAGCCGGCGGCGGCGTGCATGTTCTCGTTGATGGACAGGTCGTTGTAGGCGACGGCCGCCTGCGCAGGAGGGGGTGTTCAGCGCGCCTTGGCAAATCAGGCGCAGGCGCGGCAGCGCGGGTGCACCCCTGGACGCCCGCCTGCGCTGTTGGATCGTTGCATGGGGAGCGCTGGCGCATGCACGCGCTCGCGTTTGCCTGCCACATACCACGCATTCTTTACCATTGCCACCACCGCAACCACTGCCGCCGCCGACCCAAACCCAACAGGTTGGCTGGCGCATCCCACCCACGCCCGCCACAACCACCGCTGCCGCCCACCTCGGACTGCGTTCGGATGAGGAAGTCGTTGTTGACGCCCGGGTGCCCCACGTCGTGTATGGCGGCGGCCAGGATCACCGCCAGCTGCTCCAGGTCACTCAGCTGCGCGGCAAAGCCGTCGAGCGCCAGCATGGCGCCCACCGCCTGCGCCGGAGGGCGCGGCACCGGCGGCACGGATAGGCTCGGCGGGCTGGGGAGGCGGCCAGCAAGGCGGACTAGAGGACACCCAGGCGGGACGCCCGCACGGCGCGGCGGCGGCCGCAGCGCACGGCGCGGCGGGCATGCCGCAAGGAGCCGCACCCGCCACCTGCCGAAGCCCCCCAAGCCCACCCCACCGCAGCGCATGCCAGCCCATGCCAGCCCAGCCGGCGCCCCGGCAGGCCCCCACCCCAGCACATGCCGGCCCAGCGGGCGCCCCCCACCAAGGCAGCCCCCCGCCCCTGGTATTGCACATGCCGGAACAGCGTGTGTGCCCCACCAAGGCGGCCCCCCGGCCCCTTACCTGCGTGACGTCTGCCGCGTGCATGGAGTTGTGGTACGGGTTGTGCGGGTGGTACGCCTCCTCCACGTCCGCCAAGAAGCTGCGCAGCCGCTCCTCGGGCAGGCCCAAGCGCGACACCAGGCCCCGCTTGCGCAGCAGCGCCAGCGCCACCGCCTGCAGCGGCCGGCCGTCGGTCAGGCGGGCCAGCTTGAAGACGTCAAAGGCCTCCCAGTCCTCCAGCTGCAGGCAGGGCAGGGCAGGGCAGGGCAGGCAGGCAGGCAGGCAGGTGAGCGGGTGAGCACACAGCAGCATGCGTGCGCCGCAGATGGCCAACACCCGACAGCTGCGGCTGCGGCGATCTCGAAGCGGCGGCGGCTCGGTGGGCCGCGCAGGCTGGCTGCTGCCCTGCGCGGCCCCAGCCGTGCGAGCCCTCCCCTGCGCGGCTGCCTGCTGCCTCCAGGGCTACCGCTGGCTGCTGCTTCCACGGCCGCTGCCACTCACCGCCCGCATCTGCTCCTGCAGCTCGGGATCGTTCACCGCCTCCACCTCCTCGCTCGACGCGCGGCTGGGCTCGGAGCTGAGCAGGCCGTCGCTGCGCGGCGTGCGGTGGGGCAGGATGTACTGCCGGCCCGGCTGCCGCGGCCGGCCGCCGGGCGTGCTGTCGGTGGCCGCCTCGGGCAGGCGGTAGCTCAGCAGGAACTCGCGCTGCGTCTCATCCAGCACGTCGTCGACCAGCGGATCGGCGCCCTGAACCCGAGACAGCCAGCTGCACAGCCGCTCCACAGCATACTCCTCGTCGCCGTCCAGCTCCTCCTTCCGCTGCGCTCAGAGAGGACAGCGGGCCAGGGCAGGTGGCAGGCAGGCAGGCGGGCAGGCTTGAGCAGCCCAGCAGTGCCAGCAAAGCGGCGCAGGCGCTCGCGCAGCCCGCCCTCGAGCAGCCCGCCGCGCTCCAGCTGGCGGCAACTGGGATCCCATGCGTGCATTCGCAGCGCGTGCCCGCAGCGCGCCACTGCCGCCCTGGCCGCCAACGGCAACCGCCGCGCCGCGCACCAGCAGCTTCTTCACCGCTCGTGCCGCCACCTTGGCCCACTCGGAGCCCAGGAAGCGGCTAAACATGGCTGTCGGGTGGCCTGCTGCCCTGGCGCGGCCCGCTCCGCTCTGCACACAGCGGCAGCCGGCGGGGCGGCGGTTGAGTGCGCTACGGGCAGAGCGGCGGGAGGCGCCGTGTCGGCGGCTCGCCCGCCGCGACTGCACCCCAGCGCCTGCTCCACTGCGGCGCCTGCTCAAGCGGCTATGCCGTGGGGCTGCTGTTGGAGGTCCCGCTGAGAGTGAAACAGCCTCCAGCAGCTGTGCTGCGCAACTGTTCTCACCGCGTGCTAATTGCTCGCCGCTCAAGCTGGCCCCTCGCTGCTCGCTGGAGTAGGGGCGCGGCTGGACAGCGCCCCGGGCGCGTCAGAGGGAACAGTGCATGATTTCGCTGCTGGTCCGACTCCCGCCGTCTCTCGAATTGGCAAGCACTGCTGATGCCTGTGCACGCCTGCTGGTAGTGTCTGGGGCCCTAATTTCCTCCCCCGTGCTGTGCTGCGCTACTGCTGTGCTGCGTTGCCAGCGGCAGGAAGAGGCAACCGCTCTCCTCTGTGCCACCCTGTCCGACATGCTTCTTCCCACACCCGGCCGCTCTGCCGCCTGGCGCTGGTGATGCTGCGCCTCTACAGTCGCGGCTGGACTCGCCCCAGGCCCGGCAGCACCGCCGAAACAGACCCACACCACCCCAGGATCGCATAACAGGCGTGAAACCGGCCAGCGAGCGCGCCGGCCAACACCCCAACCCCATCGGCGGCGGCGGGCGGGCGGCGGCAGCTGTGACTCTCTGCCGCCATGGCGCACCTGGACGAGGAGCAGCACTATGAGAAGCTGGACATGGACAACGACTTTGAGGGGGGAGAGTTCATCGGCAGCGAGTTCTTCCACAGGGGCAAGCGCCAGCGCAAGCAGCAGACCGCTGACGACCGCCTGTACGGCATCTTTGCTGACGACTCGGGTGGGCGCTGCTGCCGGCCTGCCGCGTGTGCATGTCGCTCATCGGCGCACCTGAATACGCTGCCGTGCATAGCTGAGGGCGGCGCTTCAGCGCGTATCCCACCCAGGCGGTGTTTCTGCCCCTTATTGATGTTGGCAAGGACGACGTTCCACTGCCGCTTCGCCCTGCCATACCCCTGCCGAAAGCCAAAACACCCTGCATCCCTGCCCCGGTCTCTGCCGTGCAGACGACGAGCACGGGGGGCGGCGTAAGGGCGGCCCCGGAGGTGGCAAACGCGCCGACTACTCCAAACCCGTCAGCTTTGTGGGGGGCGGCGTGGTGCAGCACGGCCCAGAGGATGCCGACAAGCAGCAGCAGGGCGCGGAGGAGGCGCCGCGGCGGGGCCTGGGCGCCGGGGCAGGCTCGGGCCTGGGCTTTGCCCCAGCCGGCGCAGGGGCTGGAGTGGGGGCAGCCGCCGGGGCTGGCTTTGGCCCCGCACCTGCCCCTAAGGCCGGACACGGCGGCATTGGCTTTGCGGCTGCCGGCGGCGGTGGCGGGATAGGCTTCTCGCCCGCCGGAGGCACCGGCGGCATAGGCGTCTCGCCTGCCGGCGGCGGCGGCGGCGGACTGGGCTCCGCAGGAGGCGGCGGCGGCGGCGGGCCGCCTGGCTTCGCCAAGGGCCATGCCAGCCTGCACGAGGAGGAGGAGGAGGAGGAGGAGGCGCTGCTTCCCACGGCGTTTGGCCGCCGCATCCAGGCGGGCGCGGAGCAGCGGCGCAAGCAGAGCGAGGCGGCGGCGCGGGTGGAGCGCAGCAAGGTCAAGGCGGCGGTGGGGCCCAAGGCGGATGTGGGCAAGTTTGAGGCGCACACCAAGGGCATCGGCGCCAAGCTGCTGGCCAAGATGGGCTGGGCGGAGGGCGAGGGGCTCGGACGGGACCGAAGGGTGCGTTGCGTGCCTGTGCATGCAAGCCGGGGCGCCGGCTGCCGGCCGCCACTCGCCAGGGCCGGGCCCGCCTGCGGAAAGCTGCACGGCCACACAGCCCAGCCTGCGCATGCCTCGCCGCACCTCTCGCTGCCGCTCACGGCTCGCCTCCTGCTTGTGTCGCCGCGGCCGCCGCCTCCAGCTGGTTTCACTTACCAAACTTGATGGATTTTTGTTGTTGTTTTTTGTGCTGTCACGCTTCCCTCTGTCTCGCAGGGCATCTCCAAGCCGCTCGAGGCCAAGCTGCGCCCCAAGGGCATGGGCATGGGCTTTGGCGATTACACGGAGCACAAGCTGGTGGCGGAAGACAAGGAGGCGGCGGCGGCGGCGGCCAAGGACAAGAAGGGGGAGGAGATGGTGTGTGTGTGTGTGTGTGGGTGGGTGGC